ATCAAATATTAAACTTGCAAGGGTTGCCCTGAATTCCTCCCTTTCCTGAGAGCCAGTGACGATAACCTTCAGATAAGGTGGTTGACTTCCATTAGAGTTATGTATGCAAGAGCTGCCCGATTTAGAGAATATAGTCAGTGGTACGGTAACATCCTTCTGTGTTGACAGATGTAACTGCACCAGTAAATGCAACTGAGGTGAGGATTTAATAATTTGTGTAACTGTCAGATTACTGTGTTGTGTACTTGACACCAATATAATATTGCATATCAACTATACTTCAATATAATTAATCAATTGATCGATTGATCAATTGATTAATTAATTAAATGGCTGAAATGGCAGTGCTGATCTGAGTGTAGTATGGGAGAGAAACCAGCCCTGGGAGACAGTGTGCCATCCACAGACAGGTGCCGCCATCTGGCTCCACATGCATAAATGAGTAAGTAAATGACTGGGGGTATGGATGCCAGTTCCTCTGCTGGTGGCAAGGCCGTGTTCCCATCCATCTTCCACTTACAGAAGGAGAGGGGTCCACCTACAGCAGCAGCTGCAATGGGAAGGTTTGTGCTGGGTTCCCTCTCTGGAGTCCTGAGGCCAGTTCCCATCACACCCGTTCCTTTGTGCATGGTTCACGTGAGGACCCTTTCCCTGCTGCAAGGCGAGAGACCATTCAGCTCAGGGCTCAGAGAGCCTTTGGCCTCTGTGCCCACTGGTCAGTGGGCTTGCTGTTACATGCCTGGGCAATACTTTGAAGAACTGGTTGTCCAGCACAGTTTTCTCATGAAAAAAATGGATGGAATCTAAATCTTCTCCTTGCATGACTTAAAGATTCCTGCCTGAGCTTTGTAAGTGTCTCAGGTCTCAGTTGTCAGTTACCTGGTCCGGACTCCACTGTGAAGTCACTCAGGCACTGACCTGGACTCCTCAGGTGGTCAGTACATAGGGTCCAGGTTTCTCTGCACCTGTAGCTGCACCACTGCTCTCTGGCCTTAATTTAGAAGCCCTTTTTTATTGTCTGTTGTATTTCCCCATCTCTGTTGCCATCAGTCAGTGGGTCCTGCTAAGGGCTGCCAGCCATGTGGCTGACGCTGGCTCCCAAGGCACATCTCCTTGTGCCCTGAGGCTGATGCGCATGTAGCCCATCCTCTGCAGCCATGAAGCCACATCAGATCAATCAACCAGGGCAGCAATTATAACCTAAAATATATTCCTCCTGCACAGTCTCTCAAGAATTTCTTTCCAAAATATCCCCAAAGTAGAGCTAGCAGCTTAGATTTAAGGAATTATTACAGAAACATCTTCTCTCCCAAACTGTTTACCCATGCAAATTTCTTAAATGCTCTAAGGCATTATCTTCAGAGGTAAAAGAGGAATATTAATAAAAACAAATATTGATTAAATGCTCATTCTGTGCCAGGTTCTGTGCTAAGCACTTACCAAGGATTGTGTAGTGATTTCCCTAGAAAACCCTTGAGGCAGGTGTCAGGTCACTCAGCTCATTGGCAGAACTAGGATTCATCCGGGCAGTCTGGCTCCAGAGCCCTGTTCTGACCACCGCGGCCTGCTGCTCAGCAGTGCCCACCTCGGAGGGGCTGCTGTGGGGGCTGAATGAGGTAATGTCTGGAAGGTACTTCCCAGGCCTAGCATGAGCAGCTGCTCAGCTCTGAGAGCCACTACTACTGGACAGGAGCTGTGGCACCTGGGAGGGTGCTGTGGGCCGGGGGCTGGGGGAGCCTCAAAGGGAGCGGCTCTGGGTGGGTGGGCATCCTGGGTGGGAGGAAGGCCTGGTGGGGCTTGGGGCCTGGCAGGCTGCCCCTGCGAGCCAGCGTGATGCCTGGGCCTCTGCGCTGAGTGCAGATGACCCTCCCCAAAGTCTGTCCTCAGCCCTCTCCAGCGTTAGAGTCCATATCTCCCTTTGTCAAATCCAGAGTCAGAGCCCCCACCCTCCCCCAACTCTGCGACTCCCCTAACCAGTACTTCATTTATGTTTTCTTTTACTTTTGATCCAAAGCCTTTGTATGTTTGCTGTTGTACCCACCGCCTTCCTTGTAGAATTACGTGGTAAAAATGTCCTCCAGCGGGTGGGAGCAGAGAAGGGGAGTCCCACCGTGCTGTTTGTGTGTTAGTGTGGTAACTAGCCCGCCATCTGCCTGCCACTCCCCAGATACTGACAGCTCGTAGGAGCAGGCCAGGTTCATCTCCTGTCTTCTCTAACCATGTCATTGTTCAGCCACAACCTCAAATACAGCTCAGCTCATCCTCAGGCTAAGAGGCTACTTTGATACTTTCAGCATGAAAAGCGGGGCATCCTGGGAATGCTGAGCCAGACTTGAAGTGCTGTGAATGGGAGCAAGCATGTACTTTGGTAGTTGAGTCACAGGGATGCTAGATGGTCCTGCTGTAACCATCAGAACAAAGTGGAAGGGTTGGGCCGTGTCCTTAGGTGACCTTGAGCCTCAGCTGCCTGGGTGTGTCCATTGGGGGTTGGGGTGCAGGCCTGCGGCTGCATGTGTGGGTCTAAGTGGCACCTCAAGGTTGTTGTGGGATGTGTATGAGCCGTTTGGCTTAGTGTTTCTATTGCTATTTCATCACATTCCAAAATATTCTGAAGTTTAACTAGATTCTAACTTCTCTTGACACCCCTCTTAAACACACTATTTTTATACTTTGATCGTTGTTTTAGATCTCAGCCAGAAACAATTAAATTCATATTTTAAGTATGAGAGGCAAATTCTGTAAGAGAGTAATTGCTAATCATCAAGTAAGGTGGATCTCTGACTGCTTTTCCCCTGGAGATGATGACAGGGCAGAATGACAGATGTAGAAATGATGAAGCCAAGGCCCAGAGGTGCACCTTGCCCAGAAACGGGGAATGTGAGAAGCAGTATGAGATTCAGACACCAGTACCCGTGTTTACACAGTTAGCACAGGCTTAAAATAAAAATAAGCTGTACCCCCTACTTAGAAAAGAACCTCACACACTGCTTTTACCACTGTGGTGCCAGCCTCCTGGTGACCGAGTCACATGGCTGGTTTATGGCCAACCTGAGGTGCTTGCTTTGGGGCGTGTTGGGTTGGCCGGAGCCTGCAAATCTGTGCACACTACTGCCTGTATGAAGATGGAACTTCTAAGGCACCCTTGACATGACTTCCATCTAACAAGGGGTTGCTAATAAAGTTTATGTGTGTCCTTTCCCCTCCCCTCCTCCTACGCGCCTATGGGACCAGCACCCTTGGAACACCCAGGGCTTGCAGGGCAGTGTGGGATTAATCCAGGCTGCTGTTGGCATTTTACTCCAAAAAAGGGAGTGAGGGGTGGAGGCAATAAACTGTCCTGCTTCTCTGTTCTTTTCATCAGAAGGGCCTTTGTGCCTTTTGGTAGGAAAAGAGTCTTGGGGACAGTGCCACAGCCCAGCCAACAAATTGGTACTGTATTCAGCGTGTCACTGTGCTTGTCACTGGGAACTCGACAAAGCACAGCCCCCTTCCTACATGCTTCCTATACAACAAATCACCACCGTGTCTCTCCTCTCTGAAGCTGGGCGTGTGAGTTCATAAGGTCAAGGGATATGAATGGCACGCCAGACAGATGTAAAGAGTGGTTGGGGATGCATCTCCCCAGCCATGGCTGATGTTCTCTTTGCTTGGGGTTTAAATAATAAAACAATGATTTAATAAAACAGTGATTCTTTTCCCAGCTGGTAGACTAGCCATAGCCTGTGAGGAAGCAGATTTGGTGTCCTAATGGTTATAGCTTAAACAGTACACCAAAAACTGCTTAGAAACTTACCAGTTGTGCTCTCTAGAACAAATACAAGAGTTTTCCTACTTGGCAAAATGAGGGCACATTTATTTCCAAGACTCACAAAATCTAAAGCAGGATCGGACTTTACAGGTTGCCCAGCATGACCCTTCATTTTACAAATAGAGAAATGGGACCAGGGGCGGGCAAGTTAAGAGACATGCTCCCAACACCTAGCTGGTTGGGGGAGAACTGGTCCATGCCCTGCCCTGGCAGCTCTTTACCTCAAGTTCCCCCCAAAAGTCACTGAAATCACTTATAAAAATACTCAGAGGAATATACTGATGCTAGGCTGATAATTGGCTTTTAAAGGAAAATAGGCACATTTTAGGGGACAGTCTTTGGAAGGTGACCTGTGGAAGGAGGACAGTGACCTTCTGGCATGTGGGCTCAGTGGTCTTCAGACTGATCCCTGGGCCTGGGGTCCATCAGACATGGCTGTTCCCCACCCCCAGTGGACAGCGCTGCATTCATGTTATGGAGTGAGCCTCTGAGTGAGATTTCTTTGACATGATTAATGTGGAAACTACTATAAAAAAACAACTCAGCAGTGCAGATAAGAATACAATTTTACCATCATCAGAAATTATAGGGTTTGAAGTTTGTGACCCCAAAAGTAGGCTTGCCTCCCCACTGCCTCTGTCACGCAGCTCTGAGGGACCCGGGAACGCTGGGGAGCTGCCTCCCAGAGTCTTCCTGGAAGTGTCCTCCAGTGGTTTTCCTCACCCAGCAGGCTCTTCAGGCAGATGTCTGCCCCGGGTCTTTGTCTGGTGGAAGAGCTGCGCGGCCATTGTTCACAGCCCAAGTTCATCGTTTCATTGTTCCTGGGAGTTCTCCTTGCTCCCTGCGAATGGAAATGGAGACGGGGCTCGGCACCTGTCACAGGGAAGGCAGCGAACAGATAACGGGGAAATGGAGAGTTCACGTGGAAAAGCATATTTGATTCTGTTTGTTTAAAACCTCATTTTCTTGAAGCAGCCCATCTTCTCCTATGACTGTTGTGAGAGTTAATCTTCATGATTTGGCAGTTATTTCTTAAATGTATTAGAGGAACAGGGCTTAAAAGAAAAGAACATTTGAATCAATTATGAAATAAAATTGACATATTACTGAAACATTGCTCTCATAAAGATATTTTGTTGCTTCATTATTTCGAATTTGCTAAGTATCTGTACCTCTGTGTTCCTTTTTTCAGTATGTTAGAAGATGACCTTAAGCTAAGTAGTGATGAAGAAGAGAATGAACAGGTACGATTTTCTTTTCTGTTGCTCTCCTTTGAATTTGATGCAGTGTCGCTGACCTCATGGGCTCTCCTCGGTATTAACTGAGTTGTATACACTCTGAATTGTGGTGCTGTAAGATTCCGGATGTCCTCTGCTAATTATGAGCTTCCATGCCATTAGGTCAGTCCCTTAAAATATCTTGGTCTTAATTGTCTTTAAAAGTGTACTTCTATGATTTTTATGGCCTTGAAACCAACAATGGGTATTTACAAAGAAACCGACTCTCATTGGGCTTCAAAGTGAAATGGACCCTTTTTTTTTTGGCAATGCAAACTGGCGTTCTATGATCAAATGTGTGATCTTAACCACATCAGCATGCAATAGGCAAGCTGTAACATTAAATATTAAGAAGTCTCATCCAGATATTATTAACACTGAGAAGAAGCAAACAGAGGTGAGCTTAAATGATGAATAAAAATAATCATGCTCAGAAAGGCTGTTTGTCTTAAATGATAAATAGACTTAAAATGTTCTCCACCACTGTTGATTTATCAGCCCAAGACATCACTCAGGGGTTTATAAATATACTTCTGATTGGACAGTTGAGGTGAAAATATACCTACTTCTCATTCATCACTTTCATGTCTGCATTTCAAGAAATTTTTGCATTTTAAGGAAAGTTTGGAAACACCAAAGACAGATTTCCCTACACTTCGGTTTCCTTTTTCTCACTACCTTTGTGGTATTTTGTCAAGTTTGGATAAATTTGATAGGTATAAAGACAATTCAGGAGAAGCCTTTTACTTATGTAATTTTTGCATGCCATTCAAGACCCTGGTACTATTCAGTTGATGTTGGTGTAGTGAACTTTTCTGTGAAGGTACCACAGAGTGCTGCACCCTGATTCGGCCACCTAGACATGCAGGTGCAGAGAGTGAGCAGAAAAGCCAAAGGAAGTGAAAGAAAAGCCAAATGAAACTTCCAGAAGTGTCCATGCAGAGTATGGCAGTGAGGTCTCAGAAGGATTTGTTCCCCTGTGAGAGAAGGTGGGGGCCGAAGGAGGGCCTGGTGTGAGATAGAACCCGGCGAACCTGGAAACTAGATTGGCAGAAGGAGAACAGCCCAAGCAAGGGGAGGTTCGCTGAGGAAGGAGGGCCGCTGAGGCTTTGGCTTGTTAACAGACCATTGATTTGTTCCTGGGCACGCACACCAGGGCAGTCAGTAGGCCTAGCACAGCGATCTCAGCAGGACCAGAAAAGGACTCCACTCTAACTAATTGTGGTTCCTTGTCTGCGAGACTCCACGCTAATGATTTCATCTGTGTGTGTGTGTTCCCAATGAAAGGATCAGATAGGTACATGTGGACTAAGTCATATTGCCTGTGTACCTTGCGAATACTTTATATTAGAAAGCCAGCCTGTCTTAATTTGGGAAGAATTTTCCTGAGTTACTTTCAGGAACTATTTCCACTGAAAACTCATTTTAAAAAATGGGTTATCAAGGATGTACTAGGTACATTCTCCAAGGGCGTGAGAACTTTGGGTTGACTCATTTTGCTTTAGTAGCTACTCTTTTCCAATCTGGTATTGGTAATATTGTAATGTCAGATGCTTTATTCTTACATTTGTTCCCTGTGTGTGTACACCTATCTTTTGTGTGAAAGCAAATAACAGATGAATGATTTTTCTGCAGTAATCCTCTCCTTTAATTAAGACTCCAGACAGTGGTTTTGTATACGGTAGTGTAAGTGATTACTCTAACACTAATTATATTAAGTTACTCTGCTTTGGCCTCTAATTATACCCTGGCCTAACCACAAAATCATAATTCCCATGCTCTTAAAAAAGACTAATGATATGGTGGGGCTTTTTCTCTCCAAAACCAAAATTGGATCGTGCCCCGAAGGAGTGGAGCCTGGGCATGCATGCAGCATGCAATGCACACACCACATTTCTCTGGCCTTAGGAGATAATTTAACATTTAACGTAAATGATTTTTCCAGGTATAATCAGAGATTGTCCCTTACCCCAAAGTCTTTCAGAAATGTACTATATATCTCTCTGCCTCCATGAACACAGTAGACTAAAATCCTGAACGTTTTCTTACATGACACCTGGTTGTCCTCAGGAACATTGGTCACAAGTCTGTGTAGCCACTATGGTAAAGTGGCACCCACATGCCCTGCAAGTTGCGACTTCCCAACATAGCCTCAGACTCTGAGTCCTCCTGTCTAATGTTGCCTTAATCCTCACAAAGACAAAGTGCCTTTGTGCTCTCAAAGATAAAGGGCCAGGCCAGTGTAGGGAGTAAAGCTCAGGCTCCACAGCCCTGCTCCCTGGATGCAAATCCCTGCAGAACCGCTCAGTAGCTTTGCACACCAGGTGCAGCCCTGAACTGCTCTCTGCTCCACTGTCACCATTGGTAAAATTGTAATTAATGTTAGATCCGCGAAGCCTGCACTTCCTCAGAACTTGTGCTCACCCATCATCTTCATGTCGCCAAATCCAATAGGCTTTTTTTTTCTCCTTTAGTCAATTTATACCATATATAGAGAAAAGTACATGTAACCTAAGTGTACAGCTTAATGAATATTCACAATCCACGTACATCTGTGTAACCAGCATGCAGGTCAACATACAGACAGGACCAGCCTCTCAGGTCTCCCATATCCCCTTCCAGGCACCTCCCCCCAGGAGAATAACCACTCTCCTGTTTTCTAACACCATAGAGTAATTTTGCCTGTTTTTTAACTTAATTGATGGAATCATACAGCATGTACTGTTGTTCCTGGCTTCTTTCATTCAGCATTATGTGTATAAGGCTCATCCATGTTGTTGCATGTAACTGTAGTTTGCTCATTTCACTACTGGATCATATTTCATCATACGCATGTACTGTAACTTACCCACGCTTCTGCTGATGGGCACACAGGTCTTCAGGGTTATTAGAACAGTGCTGTTGTTAACATTCTTTACAGGTCTTTTGGTGACCATATGGGAACATTTTGACTGGGTCTGTGCCCAAGAGTAGAAATGCTGGGCCATAGGTCATGTGCATGTTCAACTTGAGTAGATTATTACAAACCATTTTCCAAAATGGTAGTGCCAATTAACATTCCCACCAGCAACGTAGAAGAACTCCAGGTACTCCACATCATGGAGTATATGTTCATGGAGTATATGCTCATGGAGTATATTGCTCTGAAGTTTTTCTTTTTCTGTATTGTCTTTGTCTGGTTTTGATGTAAGGGCAATACCAGCATATAAAATGAATTGGGAAGTCCCTGCTCTTCTCTTCTCTTGAAGAGATTTAAACTATGTGTGTCAGAATTCTCCAGTGGACCTATGTGAGCCTAGAGATTTTTAAATCTTACAAATCTCTTTTCTTAATAGTTAAAGGGCTTTCCAGATTATATCACATTGGGTAGGTTATGCTAGTATGTGCTCTTCAATTAGTCCATTATGTAATTTAAATTGGCATATTTTTGTATGTAAACTTGTGTTGCTTTATTGGCCTTCTGATGTCTGAGTTTATAGTGATATCTTCAGTTTCATTCTTGATATTGATCTTTATTTTTCTCTTTGTCAGTCTTGCTGGAGGTTTATCAGTTTTATGGATCTTTGCAAAAAATTTTCGTTGATGTTCTTTATCAGTTTTTCTGTTTTCAATTTCTTAATCATTACTATTTCCATCTTGCTTGCTTTGGAATAATTTTTATCTTCTTTTTCTTGTTTCTTAAGGGAGCTTAGATTATTGGCTTGAGACTTGTCCTCTTTTTTAATATAAGCATTTAGTGCTATGCATTTCACTCTCAACATGACTGTAGCTACATTCCACAAATCTTGATATATGGTATTTTCATTGTCTGTCAGTTCAGTGAGACTTCCTCTTTGACACACAGATTATTCAGAAGTGTGTTTCATTTCCAAGCATTTAGAGATTTCCTGTAATCTTTATTTTATTGATCTGTGGTTTGGTTCCATTGTGACCAAGAACACATTCTGTATGATTTCAAGTCTTGTAAATTTATTGGGAATTTTTTATGGCCCAAGATAATGGCTGTATTGGTAGATGTTCTATGGGCACTTGAAAGAATGTGTATCTTGCTGATGGTGGGTAGAGTGTTCCATAAATGTCAGTTAGGTCTTGGTTGATGTCCTTGTTATTCTATATCTTTGCTGACTTTCTGTCTAGTTGCTCTATCAATTGTTAGGAAAGGAGAGTTGAAGTCTCCAACTAAATTATGGATTTGTCTATTTCTCCTTTCCATTCTATCAGTTATTTCCTCACATATTTCATAGCTGTTATTTGGTGCATAACATTTAGGATTGCTATGCCTTCTTGGTAGATTTATCTTTTTATCATTATGTTATGTTTCACTCTATCTGTGGTAATTTTCTTTGCTCTGAAATCTACTTTATCAGACATCAATATAGCCACAGCTGCATTATTTTGGTTACTGTTTGTATAATGTAACTTCTCCCATTATTTTACTTTCAATCGACCTATATTCTTATATTTGAAGTGAGTGTCTTGTAAACAGCATATAGTTGTTATATTCTTTATCCACTTTGTCAGCTTCTGTCTTTCAATTGATGTATTTAGGCCATTTGCATTTAATGTAATTATTGACACATTAGGGTTTCAGTCCACCACTTTATTTCATTTTCTGTTTGTTCTTTCTTTTTTTCCATTTATCTGTTTTCGTTTTCTTGACTTCCTGCAGGTTCCTTGGACATTTTGTAGAATTCCACTTCTACTTATCTATAGTTTCTTTGAGTGTATCTCTTTGTATAACTTCCTTTAGTGACTGGGTTAGGTATTACATTATGTTTACATAATTTACAACAGTTCACTGGTGATGGCATTGTGCAAGTTTTCTCCTTTAATAGCCTAGAATTACCTTCATCACAGAATTGATTACACATAGATAATGTGGATTTAGTTTTCTGTTGTCCTAACTTCTCAAGTGAGCAACTTGAATCTTACTCTGTCTTGTATTTTTCTTTATCTCCCTCGTGCAT